GGGGCAATAAATCATTAATCCTTCTAGAGAATTTTTGCTCTGCCTTCTATCTGGCCTCCATACAGCAGTTAGAGTGATTTTTTTTTAAAGATTTATTTATTTATTTATACAAGCACTGGGTACAGTCAGAAGCGCGGGAGGGTGAGAGAATTCACCAGAGCCAGAGTGGGGAGCAGAGCAGGCAGAAGGACCGAGGTACACTGCTGAGGGGAGCAGCGGGCGGCAGGAGAGGTCTGCGCGCCATGTGGGACCCTCCCCCGGTGGCCGGGGAGCAGCCGGGGATTGAACCGGCGCTGCAGAGGCTGTGGGCAGCTTCGCAACCCAGCGCTCAACTGCTGTGCCACTGGGGAGGCCCTAGAGTGATCTTTTAAAGAAACACACATAAATCAAACTACATCACTCCCCTGGTTCAAATCACCAGTGGCTTCCTGTTATACACAGAACAAAATCCAATTTTCTGCTATGATTCAAAGACTCCATTTGATTTTACTACCTCCTGATTTCTCCCTCTACATCTCCTGTTGCTTCCTCTCTGGCTTATTGCAGTGAGTCACATTTGATTTCTGACCTTTCCTGTAGTTCATCAAGTTCTTTTCCTACCACAGGGCCTTTGCATTTGCTATTCCTTTTGACTGAAAAAAAACCCTGTCCCCTTTTCTCCATATGGCTGATTCCTTCTCATCCTTCCCAGCTATGTCACTTGGACTTAGTCAGCTCAAATTACCATAACAAAATACCATAACAGAAACTGATTCCTCAGTAGGGCCTCCCTGGTAGTGCAAGGGTTAAGTCTCAGCACTATGAAGCTATTGGCAGCCACTGCAGCACAAGTTGGATCCCTGGCCAGGGAGCCAATGCATGTGGCGCAGCAGACCTCTCCTGTCTGGCCCCCTGCTCCCCTCAGCAGTGTATTTCAGTCTGTCTGCCTGTCTGCCCCCCACTCTGTCTCTGCTGAATCCTCTCACACACTTCCCCCACCTTTGGTTTACAACCCAGCTCTTGTATACATAAATAAATAAAATAAATCTTTGAAAAAATGATGTAAGGGCATTTCTTTCTTTTTTTTTTTTTTTAAAATATTTATTTATTTATTTATACAAGAACCAGGGTACAGGCCAGATGCGCGGGAGGGTGAGAGAATTGACCAGAGACAGAGTGGGGAGCAGAATAGGCATATTTTACTGAAATACACTGCTGAGGGGAGCAGGGGGGTGAGACAGGAGAGGTCTGCTGTGACATGTGGGTAGCTCCCTGGCTGGGGATCGAACTCATGCTGCAGTGACTGCTGGTACCTTCATAGTGTTGAGACTTAAACCCTTGCATCACCAGGGAGGCCCCTGATCCTTCCTTCTTTCCCCACTCTCACTATTCTGGTAATTCTGTGGGTACTTGCATGGACCCCTGTGGTATGGGTTGCGTGCCCAGAATTGTTCTGGTCTGAGGCATATTTGCTGCCTCCGCTGGGACTCCCCCAGGGCCTGCCACATGTGCTACTTCCACACCGTCTTCTCCTTCACCACATCAAGCCCTATAGTCTTTCCATTTCCTACAAGGAGAAGATACTTCCTGGGGTGGTTCTTTGTGGTAGTCTGGTAGACAAATACATCTTTCTTCGTGTCATTCCTATTTATGAAACCACATCAGTTCCATTAAACCATCTTACTATTCCCAGAACTGTTGTTTTGACCTCCTTGTCCCTCCACCATGGCTCCCCTCCCATGTGAGGCCACCTGCTCTCTGCACTGCTGCCCAAGGTGATGGGTTTGCTGTCAGCGGTGCTAATGGTGGAGGCAGCTGGGTGTGGGCAGATGTTGGGTCCTGCTGCTGCACAGCAGCTCCTCCTGGGGTGTGATGGTGACTAGGCCAGAGACAGCAGTGGGATTGCTCAGGTTTCTCTGGGGTCTACTCTTTGTTCCCACTACTGATCAAACTCTAAAATTTTTCTTTTCTTTTCTATTTTTTAAAAAAGATTTATTTATTTATTTATACAAGAACCGGGATACACGCCAGATGCACAGGAGGGTGAGAGGATTGATTCACCAGAGACAGAGTGGGGAACAGAACAGGCAGACTGACCAAAGTACACTGCTAAGGGGAGCAACGGGTGAGACAGGAGAGGTCTGCGCACCATGTGGGACCCTTGCTAGCTGGCTGGAACCGAACTGGTGCTGCAGAGGCTGTGGACAGCTTCACAGCGCTGCGCTCAACCACCTGTGCCACCAAGGGAGGCCCTAAAATTTTTATTTTCTATGTGTCCTTTCTTAGGAAGTGAGGATATACTCCGGAGGATGTACTTCCACTTAGGAAGAGGATGTACTCCAACACAATGAGGGTATAAACCAAGATAGACAAGACTTGCAAGCCGGGAAACAATGGCCCAAACACAGGACAGTGTACATGTGGGTTAGAAAGTAATCAGTCCCAGGTTGAAGAGGAAGAGGGAGACTTCATGAGTTGGATCAGTAGGACAACAGAAGGAACTAATAGATTATGTGGAAAAAGAATGCAAACCCTGAATAACACACTAGTCATGTCCCCAGATAGCACAAATATCTATTGAGAGCTTGCATTTGCCAGTTGCTATTGGTAGGCCTGGCAGTACAATAGGGAACAGAATGACAGAGTCTCCTACCTTCGGGGAACACACACGGTTGAGGGGCTGGTTGGGAACTCTGAGGAGGTGATATTTGAATAGAGTCCTGAATTAAGTGAAGGAGCAAGCCATGCAGAATTTGGGAGAGGAGGTTCCGGGCAAAGGGCAGAGGGTGCAGTGGTCCAGAGGCTATGAGGTGGGAATGGGTTTGCTGCACCTACGGAACAGCAGAGGCCAGTGTCTTGGGTGAGGAAGAGAGTAGAGAGTATCTCAGTTAAGGGAAAGTTTCTAGAAGCTGAGATCTGAGAAGCTGGAAGTGGTCTGGGCCAGTTTGTGGAATATGGAGCTCCTTGGGGGGTTGAGAGCAGGAGGGAGACTTGTCTGAGGAGGCCAATGAGAGGCTTGGCTGCCAGGTGGCTGTGGGGTTTAGGGGAGGCCTGTGAGATGAGGAGCCTGGGGCTGGGCTTGGACCAGCAACAGCAGCTTTATCACCTACTTCCCAGCATCCCAGCCCCCTCTGGGAATTGCAGGATCCTTCACAAATCAAAATAGCAGGCAAAGAACAGCCTCTAATTGTTCTGGGTAAAAGAAGCGAAATTAGACGAGTCAGCTGTGGGGTTGAGCCCGCCTCCCACACAGCTGTGATCCCACTACCGCTGAAGACAGACTTCCCGAGACTTGCAATTCTGCTGTCTCCCAGCAAAACTTTTTGCTTCTCCGGTCCCAGGGCAAATGACAGCTATTTTGGGAGGGAGTGGGACAGATGCTGGCCCTGGAGGACAGTGAGTGAGGCCATTTGTTTTTTTGGCTTTTTTTAAGCCAAAAAAAAAAAAAAAAGTCATTTCATGAAGGAACAGTCTTAGTTGATAGGAGTTCATTTAGTCATTCAAAACATAGTGGGCACGTTTGCCCTGAGTGTCCGGGACTAGGCATGGTTGGGGGGCTCTAGAAGCACAGTGCGGCATCTCCCTTGGGGTAGATTGGGGAGACAGCACTGGTTTGGGGGTGAGGGAGGTCTGCGTTCTTACCTGGCCTCTGCCCCTGTTGCTGTGTGCCTTTGGCTGAGTCATGCTACCCTTGAGGCGTCAGTTTGTCCTTCTCTCCTGCTATGGGCTTTAGGTTACAGTGTTTCTCATACTTCAGAGTCCATAAGATGACGATTCCCAGGCCTGCTTTCCAGAGATTAAGATTTAGCAGGTCTGGCATGGGGTCCAGGAATCTGCGTTTCTTGCAGGTTCTCTTGATAATTCTGAAGAGAATCCTTGGGCCTTACTTTAATGAAGTATCCCCTCAATCTCTCAGAGTACTCCCTGCTCTGAAATTTGAGGAGTCTTTCACGCAGCCCTTTTCTGGGGTGCTCAGATCACTCCAGGGGTACAAATGACGTGCTGCCCCTGCTTCAGTGCACCTACATGTTTCTGTGGTCATCACACTGCTTCTGTATGTGCTGCCTTCTCCAGCTCACCCAGTGTCCAGCCCAGGCCTTGCTACAGAGGGGCCATGCCTGTCAGTGTTGGCCAGGTGAGGGCCCAGCTGTAGCACAGGTGTCTGTGCAGCATCAGAGTATGTAGGGGTGATGGGAGTTTGGGGTACAGGGCTGGGGTTGCAGACATCTGGTTTGAATATCTGGGCTCACACCAGGGGTTGGGTGTGTGAGACTTTCACCTGCTCCCCTTCCTCACAACTGGGTGAGTCCAGCTGTACGGAGACAGGACAGTCTGGATGGGGCCACAGGAAGGACTGAAGCCCCAGTCTATGTTGAAGGAGACCCCGAGGATATGAGGCCCTGGCTAGTCTGCTAGGCAGAGTCCCTTCCTCAGAACTGGCCAATCATCTCCCCAGAAGGGCAGGTCAGGAGCAGAGGTCCGAAGGCCAGGTCATTCTGGTCTAACCCCCAGCTTCCTTCTTCAGCTCAGAAGAGTAACAGATGTCATATACTGAGCACTTAACATGCTTTGGGCTCAGAGCTAAGTGCTATGTTATCTCATTAAGTTTTATAATTCTATAAAGTTGGCAAAAATATTGCCCCTCTTTTTGTAGTTACAGACACTGAGACTTAGAGTTCACGTTAAAAGACCAGAGTCACTCAGCTAATAGATAGTGGAAACAGGATTAGAACCTACATCTCTTTTCCTCTGGGTCCCAGTTTTATCTTTAACCATATTGCTTAGACCACTTTGGAAGATAAGAGCTTTTCCTAAAATACCTTTTCCACAGACAGAGAAATCCTTTTGTCTCTGCTGTAGTGGAGAGGAGTGATACTGAATCAGAGTACAAGGTTCCAGTTCTGCGCTGACTGTTTTGTGACCTTGGACAAGTCATTTCACCTCCTCGAGTCTCATGACCTGAGAATCTGTGAACCTGAAATGTGTGAAATGAAACACTTATACTTGCGCTTCCTTTTAAGGTACACTAAGATGAAGACAGCCACCAATATCTACATCTTCAACCTGGCCCTGGCAGATGCGTTGGCCACCAGCACACTGCCCTTCCAGAGTGCCAAGTACCTGATGGGGACGTGGCCCTTTGGGGAACTTCTCTGCAAGGCCGTGCTCTCCATCGACTACTACAATATGTTCACCAGCATCTTCACGCTCACCATGATGAGTGTTGACCGCTACATTGCCGTCTGCCACCCAGTCAAGGCCCTGGACTTCCGCACACCTGCCAAAGCCAAGCTGATCAACATCTGCATCTGGGTCCTGGCCTCAGGTGTGGGTGTACCCATCATGGTCATGGCTGTGACCCGCCCCCGGGGTGAGTGAATGAGGGGCTGTGGCACAGGCCGCTGATTACAAGAGGCAGCCCGTGGGCCCTTATGGGTTTACAGGCCGTTTACCGGGGTGGGTGTACATGGCTCACCAGTGGACAGGTGGGTTTCTTATCAGTGAGAGCGTGGATGGCTGGCCAGTGGGGAGTAGTCAACCAGTGGGAATGGGAATGGTTGACCAATGGGGAATGTGAATGGTTGACGCTTGTGAGAATGAACATGTGGGCAGTGGTCATGTGGGTTGCAGGCCAGAGGAAATGTATGAATGGGATTATAAATCCCACCCGTAGATGGCTTATCTGTGTGCATGCGGAGGCTGGCAAGGAGTGTATGGCTGACTTACCTATTGGGAGATGGATGGATGGTCAGTGGGGTGAGGGCATCACTAAGCAGTGAGTTATGGAGGTTTTAAGATTTGTGGTCTCATCCCAAACTCCCTTTCACCCCAATTTGAAAACTATTGACCCAAATAACCAAAGCAAGATATAGAGAATGGCCTTCAGGAAATGACAGGTACATTTCCTCTACAAAATGATCATTTTCCCCAGAGCTAAATGGTAATTATTTTAGTAACTACCTGTATTAATCAGGATAGCTAATGTAATGATCTCCAAAGCTCAGTGACTTAACACAATTTGTTTCTCATTCACATCATGCCTTTTCCTTCCACACAGTCATTCAGGGATCCAGGCTCTGAATGATGGTTTCAGAATCCTCAGCTGCTGGCATCTGGCCAGCAGAAGAATATGGAGAGGGAGTGGTGAGAAAGCACAACCACTATTAAATGTCATGGCCCGTCTCTTCCTAGTGATAGGTGGTCATGTGGCCTCAATTTGATGTAAAGATGTGGGAAATGTAATTTAGCAGGGTGCTGGAGACACAGGTCACAAATTAACATATCAGCCACACAATACTATGGGATGTTGAGATTAATGAGGACATTGCCAAAGCTCATTAAATAGAAGCCATTGAAATGATTAATCTAATGGGGTAAATAAGACAGGGACTACTACCTACATTTGACGGTAAGAAAACCAAGAATTGGAGCGGTCAAGTGGTGTACTTAGGGTCACACAGTGAGGCATTTGGTGGAACTTAGCCAAGAATCCAAGGCTTCCACTGCCTATCTGTCGCTCATTTTAGCTGCTTGGTAAAGGTTTGCAGAGGGTCGGTGCTATGTGTGGGTGGAGGAAACAGCTTGGTGGGAGGCTTCTTGGTGATCCTTTACCCCCATCAAGGGTAGCGCCCAGTGCCCTTATATGATCTCTGAGAGATTGGTCTTGACTCAGCACCTGGGTCCATTCCTCACTGTCAGCCTTCCGTTTACGGGCCATTAGGTATAGCCCTGCTGGTGGCCAGACCAGATGGCTCTCCTCACTGTAACACACACTCACTATACCCCCCCCCACACACACACACACTAGCACTATTGGTCTGTGTGACCTTGCTGCGTGACCTTGGACAAGTGCTGCTCCTCTTTGGGCCTGGTTCTGCCACCTATAAAATGAAGTCCTTGGGCTCAGTCACTCCTAGAGGCCCTCCCAGCCTGATATCCTGTGGCTCTCCATCCCCTTTCTTCACAATTCTCAGTCTCAGTGGCCACCTTGTAGCTCTTCAAATCCCAGAATCCCAAGAGATCTTGGGACTCCCTTGGGCCAGCCTTGTATCTAAATCCCACAATATCCCCTCAAGTGTTCACCCCACCTGAGCTCACACTCTAAGAACAGGGTGCTCATCCTATCCTGGGGGCCCCTCCTTTCTCTGGACAAGTCAGGCACTCAAAAGTTTTTCTTGCCATTAACCCTAGTTCTGCCTCCATGGCCCATGGCCCCCACCTTTGGACTCCCACACACACCTGCCCCCCCCACCCTGTGAGTGCACCCCTGCCCTGTGAGAGCTTTCACCCCACTATGCTCAGTGCTTTACTTGCCTTCTGCCAGGTAAGCAGCCCAGGTAATCTCACAACAACCCCTGTTAGTTCCACTTTACAGATGCTCTCTGAGAGGCTGAATAATTTGCCCAAGGCCACAGAACACACAGTAGGGCCTCATGCTAAGTCTGTCTTAGCTGTATTTCCCCTACGGGCATTACTCTGGAAATGTGTGGGGTTTTTTATCACAAGGACTGGCATCTAATGGGCTTGGGCTAAATTATATCATTACTGCCATGAGCACAGAAGCTTATGAAGGTGCCGGGAGAGAATAAACAAAGGAGGCCCCCAAGAGTAGGGTCTGTTCTGTGGGGGTCTTATAGCGTGAGTTCATCAAGTACAGAAGTCAAGGGGCGGGGGCATCCCGGGTAGAAGAGCCATGTGGCGCCAACCCCAGGAGGAGGCAGTGGGCAGACGGGAGGGCTGGGTGCACCTGCCGGGTCCCTTGGGCCCACAAGCCCGTCATCCCCTGTCTGTCTTGTTTCCCTGACCCAGACGGGGCGGTGGTGTGCATGCTGCAGTTCCCCAGCCCCAGCTGGTACTGGGACACGGTGACCAAGATCTGCGTGTTCCTCTTGGCCTTCGTGCTGCCCATCCTCATCATCACGGTGTGCTACGGCCTCATGCTGTCGCGCCTGCGCAGCGTCCGCCTGCTGTCAGGCTCCAAGGAGAAGGACCGCAGCCTGCGGCGCATCACGCGCATGGTGCTGGTGGTGGTGGGCGCCTTCGTGGTGTGCTGGGCGCCCATCCACATCTTCGTCATCGTCTGGACGCTGGTGGACATCGACCGCCGCGACCCGCTGGTGGTGGCCGCGCTGCACCTGTGCATCGCGCTGGGCTACGCCAACAGCAGCCTCAACCCGGTCCTCTACGCCTTCCTCGACGAGAACTTCAAGCGCTGCTTCCGCCAGCTCTGCCGCACGCCCTGCGGCCGCCCGGAGCCGGGCAGCTTCAGCCGCGCCCGGAAGCCACGGCCCGCGAGCGGGTCACCGCCTGCACCCCGTCCGACGGCCCCGGCGGTGGCGCGGCCGCCTGAGCAGCCGGGCTGGCCCGCGCGCCCCCGCCCAGTGCCCCGAGGGCGCTCGGCCTTCTCGTGGGGCTGGGGCCCCGGCGCGGGCTGGGGCGGCGGGGAGCCTCTGTTTTGGAGAAGGGGGTCGCGCCTGAGCCGAGTCGGGAGCCGGGAGATGGCGCCCCTGCAGTGGGGGGGACCCCTGGTCTGGGGCGGGGTAGCGGCGGGACAGTGGGGCGGTGCTTCTGGGCTGTGGGCGCTGCCAGCAGCCTGGGGCTCCGTGCAGCCTGGGGCTCGGCGGGAAGCTAGAGGCTCCAGGTGGGTGGGACCTGTGCCCCTAGAACCAGCGGCTACGCAGGGCCTCTATCTTGGGACAACCCGGAGTTCTCACCCCGATCCCGGCTGGCCGGAGTGGGGGTCCGGTCTGAAGATCTCGGGCCCAGGACCCAGAAGGGGTTGGTGGGCACTGTGGTTTGAAAATTGAGCTTCAAGTTTGGGTTCTGTGTGGTGGGGAGGGGTCTCTTTAGGGGTGAGACAGGATTGCACAGTGAGGTGTGACTACAGCTGGAGGTAGGCTGTGTAGGCTCGGGGCTTCAACTTTGGGGTAGAATCCCAACCGCAGGTTGTAGCAAGAGGTGGGGCCCCCTGAAGTCCAGGTTCAACCTGCGGTCTTGAGAGAAAGCCAGAGCGGGAGAGACTCCTTGACAGTCATTTCCTTGGAGCAGGTAGCAGGGATCCTTCAGCATCAAAGTGTCCCCAGCGCTGTGTCCCAGGGGGCTTGGGGCACAGTAGTGGACTAGGACAGGGAAGAAGAACAGAGCCTCAAGCTGAGGTGGAGTCCCCAGCCCTGAGTTCCATGGAGCTCTGACCCGGCTTGTGGAAGGAGTGGAGGAGACACCCCAGGGTTCTGCACCAAACCTGGAGGCTGCAAGCCAAGCTCTGTGCCAGGGGTGGTGGCCGGTGGGCTGAGGGGGAGCTTCTGCTTTGAGGTTAGGTCTTCAAGCCAGAGGGCAGATGCCTTTTGAAGGTCCCTAGGGCTGTGGCTCATCTGACCCAGTCCTGGAGGAAACAGACCACACTAATTAGTGCTCTGTAGATGGTATCTGTGGCACCTGGACTGGGTGGGAGCATCTGAAGCACCAATATAGACTTCTCCTCCTCCCCCCTCCTGGTCTCGGGTCTCTGAAAAGAACCTTCAAGAAGTCCTCTCTTTTCTCACAACATCTGGCTCACCCCCTGTCCCGCAGCGAACTGGAGCTGCCCACAGGGACCTGGCTTTCATAACTGCAGTACTATTGTGAGTGTGTGCGCCCCTTCTCCCAGTCCTGATCCCCACCTGCCCCCCCACCCAGGCTTCCCAGGTCCCCCACCTGCTCTAACAGCCCAATTCAAGCTGCTCAGGGTGTGGCCTACCCAGAAATGTGCAAGTTTTTCTTTTCATTTGCTTGGAATTTTATTCAGGCATTCCTAGATCTTTGCTCCCCCCGCCTCAATATAGGGTCTCCCCTTGTTCACTGTGTCTCTCCATGCTTCATCTCCCCCTCTCCCCCAGATACTGCCTCAGTCACACACCCCTGACTCCCTGTGGAAGCAGTGTGCTGACATCCTTGTAAAAACAAATTTAATTTTCTTCCCTTTTTGGGACAGATGGAAAGAAATTGACGTCTTTGTCTCACACACACACCAAAAAAAAAAAAAAGAAAGAAAGAAAGAAGGGAAAAGGAAAAAAAATAAGAAAGAATCTACCTCTTCTTCCTTTGACAGTCATTTCCTTGAAACAAAAGTCTCTCCCCTATCTGGGAGGCTGTCAATCCAGTAGTCACTGAACTAGCAGGGGGTAGGGGTTTAGGCACCAAGGTGGGCTTCGGGCACATTCGAGTTAGGGATGTCCTTAGGAAAAGCCCATCTTTGGGGTGAGTTCCCCAGAAGCAGAAGGCTGGGGGAATTTTCTTTCCGGGAAATGGCACCTCTAGGGCCCTGGAGGATGGGGGGAGGCAGCAGTCAGATCCTGCTAATCTACTTGGATCTGGAGTCCCAGCCCACCCAGTCAAATAGAGCTTGTGGCAATAGAAATCTCTGCCTGCATAGGGGGGAGACCTCTGCTCATGGATACCCCATCTGCTTGTGCATTGGGGAGATGTCAAACACAGAGAACAGTTCAAGAATTGGGGAGGTGATGTGGGGCTGGTGATTGTCCTTCAGCCCCTCCCAGCACAAGAGGATGCTTTGGAGTCCTGCCCTTCCTGTGTGGCTGCAACAGACTCAGCTGCTTTGTACCAGTTCTCATACGGAAATTTGCCCTGGGGCAGCCCGGGCCGGGATCAGACCAAGTGTATTTAAGGTAAAGCAAACCTGTACTGAAAGCTGCTTCATGCCAGGCTGGTCACCCTGGGCACTGGGACTGGGGAATGAGTCAGACATGGTCCTTCCTCAGAGAACTCAAAACCATGGCGGGAGACAAAGCATAAACAGATCACTGTGTCTCCGTGTGATGTGTGCAATGACAGGGAGCCCTAGGGGGGGTGTCACAGGGAGATGCCTTTTCTAGCTTTTTCCCAAAACACATATTTGTAGCAATTTTAGAAGAAATGTGTACAGGCATGGAATCTCCAACGGCTTGGAAAACCTGAGATGAAGCATCTGGAGTGTGGGGCTTAACTGAGCCCTCTGGGTGTCAGGCTCAGGGGTCAAACACCTTATGCACATTATCCCTTCTGATCCTCCTAACAACCAGATGGGGGAACTACCAGTTCCCTTTTCTAGACAAAAAGTCTAAGGCACAGAGAGGTTAAGCCACCCACCCCTAAGTCACACAGCCTGACAGTGATGAACCTCAGGTCAGTGGAAGGCCAGGGATCAAGTTTCTAGTGAACTCCAGGCCTCATTGAAGTAGAAGGGCCTGGTGGCTGGCACCCTTGGATGAAGTTTTTAAAGACTTAAAAGCCAAATGGAAAGAGCTGAAAGAAAAGGCAATTTTCCATGAACTTTTGTTCCTTCTGAAGCTCTCCAAATCTTCACATTTCAAAATGTACTGTGCATGGTGCATTTTAAAGCTCCAAATTGACAGTGTAATTCTAGATCATCACAACTGTGGAGTAGGTCTGGTTTCCCCCCAAATTTCTATTCCTCTCCTGTCAGGTGGGAGGGAAGTTTTTGCTTCTGGTTTTGAAATGTCCTATGATTTCACATCTCTTCTGGTTGTAATAGCAATAGTGATTAAGGCTGGGGTCAGATCTGCCTCAGTTTCATCATCTATAAAGGGGACTTCTTCCGTGAGGTTGATGTGGGGATATGTTGAGTTAAGGCTGGATAAGGCCCAGCACATAAATAAGCTCTTAGCACATGGTAATAGCCATTATTACTTAAACTGGAGCTGAGCCAGGTTAGAGATAGAGCCCTCGAGGGCAGGGGGAATGATGAAGAGAGATAGCAGAGATGGGGGACTCAGTCTGAGGATCCCCTTGCTTTCCAGGATCAGGAACCGCAGTGGAGAGTGAGAAGCTGCTGGAGAAGCAGGAGGAGGATGGGAGAGAATGTGCTGCCATGGAAACTGGAGGAGGAGGGCGTTCCCAGGGGGAGGGAGTGATGGATAATATGATGTCAGGTGTCATAGAAAAGAGGTTGGGGGTGGGGAGGGCAGGAGGGTGATGGGAGTAAACCAGAGCCCTCAAGTTCAGTCTCTCTCATGGCCTGGGAGGCCCCAAATCTGAATTCCAATCTCAGTTCTGATGCTAACTGGCCCTGTGACCCAGACAAGTGATCCCCCCACTACCCCCAGCATCTCTTTCCTGAGATGAGGGATGCTTCCGTCCCTAATAAGGATGCTGAGCTTTTAACTATAGTCCTGATTTTGCTGGATTCTTGGCCACTTGCTAGCAGTGTGATCTTACACAAGTCACTTGGCTTCCAGGAGTCCCTCTGGAGGCTGGAGAGACGGGGAGCCAGGTGCTTTCCCACATACCTGAGGGCGATTCAGTCATAACTGCCGGAAGGCTGGAGGCATCTGCCTAGGAGCTTTGCTTGGTGTGAACTTAAAATGCTCCTCAAGGCGGAAGGAGCTACCAGCATCCTGGGGGGACTTGGAGGAGCAACAGTCCAGCCTGGGCACCTACCTACGTCTCCGTCCCTCTGTGTCCAGCAGCAGATCTGGAACCCGGCCACTGGCTGCTTTCTTGCTTGGCAACTACCGCCAAGCTGGGAACCGTCTCAAAGGCTCCAAGCTCCTAGGTGGTGATAGAACTCACACACAACACACACACACACACAACTTTCTTGCATCATTTATTTATTCGTTATTTATTCCCTTCTTTCATTTCTGGGCACTGAGCCCATCATGTTGGGAGTTGGGGGAGTTATGGGAAAATCAGGACCTGGTCCCTCAACTCTGAGGCTGCAGATGTTGGGTTACCCAGGGCTGGGACTGCTGACTGTCTTCGGGTGACAGGCAGCTCTGGAGTTCAAACTGGGGTCCAGACTTGGGTTGGAGCGAGCCTTCAGGATGGACAGACTGATGCCGTAGTAGGGCCTAGAGACTCGGGGGTCACTACACTGGCTTAACCACATGGTGTTCAGCCCATTCTGGAGCCCAGGGCACTTTCATATCTCCTCTCAGCGAGAGGCCGGTGTAGTAACAATAGGCGACATAGCACTTTCCCTGCCCATCATAACTCGAAGCACTTTACATGAAATAACTAATTTATTCTTCATGGCATGAATACGAGGTAGGAATTACTGTTATTACCCCTATTTTACAGACCAGGGAACTGAGGTCCACAGAGGGGATTGACCTGCCCAAGGCCACGTGACTTGTTGGTGGCTCGGCGGGCTAGGATCCCATCTCAGCGCTGTCCAGACTGCGTCCTCTGCTTTCCCCAGAGGAAATTGACCACACAGAGGGCACTTAGAGTATTACCTTTTGCACTGAGCCTTCTGCTTTGGCAGCAGAGCTCATGCCAGCCACCCAAGAGACTGCTGTGACCTCGCAGGGCCCTCTCCCCAGCCACGCTTCCCTGTCTGGGAAGGCCTGC